AGTAGGAGTAGAGAGAGAGGAGAGAAAAAGAAAAGAAAAGAACTAGTCACGTGGTTTATTGCTTGTCGAAGTTTTTAAGGGAAGGAGAGTACTGTTAGAATCGGAAGCAGTTTCATTTTTACTTTTTAATTTTAAATGTTATTATAAGTTTTTTTTTTTTCTAACTCATTTTCATTTAAGTGAAGTCTGTATCTTTTATATGCTGCTGGATCTGGGCCAGGCTTTACCATCCGTTTTTATTCAACAAGAAACAGAACAAGTAGTGGAGAGGCTGGACACTAAATTTCTTTCTCTTAGTTTTTTTTTTTACTTTTTCATCAGACAAGTCATGAATTAGAATTAAAATATATCATTCACTATAGCTTTCCAACAAATTAGCCATTATCATCGTTTAATAAAAGACGAAAAAAGATCGGTAATGGTAATGTCATTTTAAAATGCTTGTAATCAGTAACAAATGTTAATTGTTAATTAATAATTGACAGGTGTTAGTGAATTTCCGTCCGAACACTTGAGAAGACTTTTTGTCAAGAGAAAAGTGTTTTTTTCTTTTAAAAAAAAAAGAAAGAAAGAAACCGAATGATGGATATTGGATCGGATACCGAAAGCAAATGGATTTACTCGTCTTTACACTACCACTAAGTTAAAAAAAAAAACAAACTAAAAGTTGTAAGTAAAAGTTTTATTTTAATTTCCCATTCCTTTCAATATTTAGCTCCTGCAGAATAAGTAATAATACTTATAAATTTTATTACTGAACCCAACCATTCTGTCATCTGTGTCACCTAAAAAAGTTTAAAAAGCAACTTTATTTTTTATCCATAGATAAGATGTCTTAATTTTTAAGTTTTTTTTTATTGTTTGTAATAAAAAAAAAAATAGCCAACAAATTTCTCTTGTTTTCTTGAGTTGAGCATGATAGGTGATGGTCACTGCTGCTATCATTTGTTGTTTTAGTTTTAAGCTTTTAATTTCCTCTGATTCTGTTTTTACAGCATCATGAAGAGTTTTAAAAAATCCTTTCACTCATTTTCTATCGGCTTTTGATTAATTAGTTACTTTTGAAAAAGTTTCTTTTTTGAAAGATTGTTATTGACAAATCTTTGATTTACAAATTACGTCATGTTTGTTGCACCATAGGCTTTCTTTTTGTTTTGCAAGTTCAGATAAAATGAAAATGTTTAAATCTAATCTACAAAAAATCCTTATGTCACATTTCTTTAACATCTTTGTAATTTTTGTTATTATTTTACAAAATCAATTTCATTTTTCTGAAACTTAAATAAATTCAATTTTTTATACCACTTTTTTTTGGTTACTTATCGACATATCAGATCGGTGTATTTATTTATACATTTTAATTGATAAATAACAAGTATTTAGATCTCTGCAAACATTTTGTACACAAGAACACCTACACATCTTCAATTCAAACATTAAAATAAAATGTATTGTTATCTGTCTTTTTATTCTTCTTATGATAATATGTAATATCAGTCGTTAAGTTTTATATACTCCTCATTTAAAAAGAGTGTCCAGTTCGTGCATTATTGTCAGGATGAAATGGAGTCCTTGAAAGAAAAAAAATGATTTTATGTCTACACTACAGTATTTATAATACGATTCGCCTTTTAAGTGAACAAATTTAAAAACTTGTTGGATTTGCAATGTAGTATTAATAATATGCTGTCCTGTAACTAATCATGTGCGACTATTTTTATGATGTAAATTGTGTTGGGCTTTTAATTTAAAAAATGCTTGCGTGCATGAAGTCACTCTCGAAGTTATATGCACATTCAATTCTGCCTAGAGATATTGCTCTATTAAATTTTGATTTTGATCCTGAACAGCTTACCAAGAAAATACAGAAAATATATTTTGGTTTGCAATTATATTTTTCGTGTGAATGCTATTAGCAACTGAATTATTTGCATTTATTAACACGAATATCTGCATATTTGATGCAACAGCTTTTTTTAGTTGCTAAAAATCTTTGTAAAATTAAAAAAAAATATCAAGTTTCTTTTTTTAAATGTAAAAACAAATTTGTCTTATTATGCTACTTTGGAAACATTCAATTGTTGTTGAATGTCTATTTTGAAAATTAAAGTTTATTTATTTTCAAAATAAACATTCATTTCAACGACAATATGTTTAGTAATTAAACATAAAAGCTAATTAATTTATTTTCACATGAGGTAGTGTAAGGAGTTTAAATATCCATTGGTTCATCGATTATACTTTGCAAAGGTAAAAAAAAGGGACAAGCAAGATTTTGATTAACAAATAGGAAACGATTCGTTATCACCACATCATCTTCCGATGTGTATAAAAAAACGGTTACTTTTGAGGAAATTTTCTATCTAAAAATTTCCATAAAAAAACAAAAAAGCAGGTGCTTAATTAAAAGAAAAAAAAATCATATTTCAATCATCGTCATCAAACTTGTTCATCTTTTCTATTCTATAGGCACTCCTAAAAATAACCTTGTGTCAGATTTGATTTGGTGCAAACAAATGTTTTTTTTTTAAAAAATCATTGAAACTAAAAAGTACTCGATTCATTTCATCGAAATGCTAAAAATTAAAATTAAAATAATTCTTTGTTTATAAAATGAGAACTTAATCAGTAAATACAAGATCACTTATCCCTACCCCTATCAGTATCATTTAAAAAACTTAAAAAAAGAATTATCAATTAAGTAATTTATTTAAATAGTTGAATGACAAAAGGGGAAAACCTTATTCAACTACCCATTTAGTATGCTGATACACTGACAGATTTACATTCTTTTTTTTTATGCCCAGTGTAAATTGCTGGATATTTTATTTTTGGTATATAATTCATAATTTTTCTCTCATTCATTATTTTAGGTGGGCCCCATCTGCGTTTTAGTTGATCCATATTGTTAAATGTAATCTGCTTATTAATCCAATCTATACATTTTTACAAAGAGGATTAAACGGTAATGTTGACTTTTTAAAATTCATGAATGATTTGTTATTATTCACTTCGGCCTGACCAAGATTTTGTTTTCTTTCAGAACATCTAAAAATACCAGACAAAAGAAATGAATAAGATCTTTAAACCAAACATGTTCTTTCGGTTTTTTAGCTACATCTTAGAATTCACATTTAAAGTCTAAATTAAGATTTAATTTAAATTTGTCAACAGGTAATGAAGTTCAAAAAAGTTTTATTTTTGTAATTTTAAAAATAGTATTACCGCCTAACCTTTTTTTAATTTCATTTATTTATCTATTTCAAGGAACTTTTAGTTGTGGCTTTTGCAATTTCAGAACTATTTCTTAATCATTGACTTCTTTCTTGTTTGAAATAGACTTTCTTCCTGACATAAAAATTATTTAGTGAAATAATAACCAATATGACATTTTTTTTATTTTACCAGATGAGCTACGTCACTTAACCCTAATGCGTTTTAAACGCATTATTAGGGTTAAGTTTTTAACTCATTTTTATTGAACGATTTTTTCAAACATTTCGTAGTTTTCTGATGTTTTCACTTTATTTGTAGTTTAACAGTGAAAAATGTTTTTTTTAAGTATGCAATCAAACCAGCACATTTGAAGTGTTGCTTTTCTTAGATTGTTAAGAGGGGATTTAAAATTTCCAAATTTAAGCGAAGGATGGCGCTATTTTTTATTTTTTATTTTTTTTTTTGAACCTCCGAACATTGGTGGAAGCTATGTGGAAAAGGAACGAATAAAAAAAAAATCAAAGCAATACACAAAATATGGATCAACAAAAGAATGTATGATTACTTTTTAGTAGTTATGTGGATGATTTTTTTGGCATCAAATCTCCATGGATTTTTTTTTTTCCTGTTCGATATTGATTCTTGAATTTGTAAATTGAAAATACCTTTTAAATGTCAATGTTGATTTTCTTCAACCTAATAGATTCCAGATGTTCAATTTAAATGTCATAATTTGAATTTTAATGTGCGGGAAGTAATGGTATTTTGATGTTGGAGGTGCAAAATCAAACTATATAGCGTCCGAAAAATTACGTGCCGCTAAAAAAATAATGTAACCCAGTGAAAGTAACCCTTACCCAAGAAATACTATATAAACTTTAGTATTTCTTTATAGTATAAATAATACTGAGAATTGGATGATTTGATGAATTTTATTTTTTACAGAATAGTAACAAATCATTTTTTAACTTTCAAGAATATCAATTTTAAGAAAATTTATGGAATAAAAACTATTTCACAAACATGAATTTTGATGATCTTTGAGATTTTTATTTCTGAAAAGTGAAAATGAATCATTTACTTGAATTTGGAATTACAAGTTTTGTAAAATAATCTTGGTGCGTAACTTTAAGAGAAAAAAAAACTTTTTGAAAGAACATGAGTTGAAACGAAAACAAAACATGTCTGGTTTCTTGCACCTTTGTCCTTGAAGCATTAATTTTAAAAGATGAATGCGTTGAAATGTGTTCCATATCCAAAAGGTTCTAAGGCTGTATGTAGAATTTGGGGATATAATTTTTATTGCAAACTTATACCCAATTATGCCAAAATTGTACTATCTCTATTTGAACAAATGAGATTATTCCCAAAGACTAGTAGTAGATATTGGTGTTGAAAATGGAATCGGTGAACAAAATTCAAATTCTAGGCTTGTCTGTTGCCTTCACTTTTGTGCTAATACTCCTGAGAAAGACTTGACTCAATCTCTTCTCTCCACCCCCAGCTATAGGTTAAATAGCAGAGTAGACTGAGCTTTCTAGCCTTGGATGGGAACTAGTCTAAGAGAAGAAAACTCAGAATTTCAAACCATGGAGAATGCAGTGGAAAACCATTCCAGTATCTTTTATAAGAATGCATGGATAATTCACAGATAATACAGAAAAGGAATCTGTGGAGTGTCATGATTGATCCGGAATATACAAGGCTTTTAAAAAAAATGTAACAGTTGTAGCTTACCCACAATCTGATGTCTCTATCAATTGGTCACTGACAGTACTCTAGGTTTACGGTCACATCATGTTGAAACACCAGTTCCCATATAATCACCAAAGTTAAGCAATGTTGAGTCTGGTCAGTACCCAGATGGGTGACCGTTTGAAAATACCAGGTACTGTAAGCTTGGACATTTGGATGGTGTAATGGATAACAGCTTGAAATTGTTAATTGAAGAACTGAGTTTCAATTCCCATTGGGTTTGTTATATTCACTTCTGTGCAAATACACTTGGGAAAGGTATGAATCCACCTCTTCTCCCTCCAGCTATGGGTTAATTAGTAAGACCTGTATCACTAAACCATTATTATCTCAAAAAGAAAAGAATTCTTACAATATTTTATGGTTCACAAAGGGTTGATAAGCTGTAAAAATTGAATCGGTCAATTAACTGACAATCAGTATGCAGTTGGTACAGCATTACATCAAATAAATAGGATTCACTTTCTCATTGGTTTTGTTTCCATAAAGTTGGCACAAACACAGGCAAAGTATTCTACTTCTGATAGAAAGTTACTAGCTGCGTATTTAGCAGGGATTCACTTTTGTCACAACATTGAATCATGTCATATGAATTTATGACAAACCATAAACTACCATGCTGTGCTTTTTATAGTTTAAACCCAGCAAAATCAGATTGCCAGTAACACCACCTGTCAATACTTCCTGAGTACATTTCTCACATAGCAAATATTAAAGGTAGTCAGAATAGAGTAACTTATTGTATGTCATGACCGACTTTTGCAATGCAATTAGAAATCATTGATGAAGAAATCAAATCTACAAAACTTAGAGTTTTCAGTGTCAGGTAATAATTCTAAGATATTTAAATGATATGTCTGTTTCTTATCCTACACCTTTTTATACTGAAAGCTTTGTGCAAATCTATTTTTTATAACTTTCATTAATTGTTTCATCCTGGTATTGGACGAGTTGACCATTGCCAATGAGGGTTTACTGAGGTGTGGTTAATGTCCACTGTGCTATAAGTGGGGCTATGTTTCTCTTCATTTTAGATGGGAGCAGTTGCTCAGCCCCGAGGATTCCAACTCTCTGGCATCACCTTCCTCAATGCATTAAAGAGATTGGGTTGGTGTAATACCAATGTTAGCATGACTGTGGTTGCAGGGGCTGGTCAAAAAACAATTTTTTGTCCTTGGCTTATATGCATAAGTATGTGTATGGCGCTCACCACATTTAAAACAACTTTGCGTTACATCCAGCCTTGGCGGGAAGGCCAGATAAATATACCTGGTATTGGACCATTCTATAAAATTAGATAACAGATAACCAATTATGGATAAATATATAAAGCAATTTTATATAGTGTGTAACTTGCCAACAGTAAACAATTTATTAAACACATAAGATCTATTCAAGATTGTATATTTTCTTATTCATTTACAAAGGGATGAACATTGTTAGCAATTAAATTTATCAGTGATGTAACCTAATCTTCCTTTCTATGATATTATGAATATTTTTTATCATCTATGGTAAAGTCAAATCATTTAAGACATAGAAGCTCAGTCGAGTACCATGAAAGTACATTGGAGAGATCTTTTTAAACAAGAAATTTAAATTTCCAGATTTGTTTACCTTGGACATTTTTCTTTTTTTACTACTAAGAGATGAGACTGATATAGAAGCTAGGTTAAAAAAAAATCTAAGAGAAATTGATAATATAAAAATACTAGCATCGGTATCAATAACAAATTTTATTTTGGTAGCTCTTAGTTGTGCAGTGGCTTCCAAAAGCAGCTGGTCTGTTGGAACAAATGCAGCCTACCCAATTAGTTTTGTGCATCCCTGGGAATAGGAATTGGCAGTCGGGAAGAGGTTAACATCTGAAGGTTACATTGCTACTTGTGACATCTGTATTCAAGATTTACATGTTCTTGCTTTGTTAGCATAAAATATGAGTGGTTTTTATTCTATGCAACATGATCTAAGTCCTTTAAGTTGTGTATGTTGTGCATTTTTACTATATTTTTGAGTGTGAACTTGTTTCACAGCAAAATTTCTGTTGAATTTCTATTCAATTAAGCTATTAGCTCATTTGCAAGTATACTTAATTGAGTAGGAGTTAGTTTTGTGAAGCAATGGCAGGTACTATAGATGAAAATGCTTGCAGAAAATTATGTTGTACTATTTCTTCATTGATACCAATATAATCTACTAAAAAAAGATTTCTCACTTGATATACAGTGAGAAATCTTTTTATTTATTTTTTTTAATCTAATATTAAAATTAGTCATGTTGTCCCTCCCAAAAACTTTACTAAGTTCAATTGGTGGAGGGGGATATTGGAGAACTAACCAATTAAATCAACAAAGATAAGAATACTTGTTTGGATAAATTCTTGTGTTGACGGTTTAAATTTTATATGAAAATAAATGAATTATGAGATAAGTTGTTGCTGCTTAAAATGACTTTTTAGGAGTTGACCTTTTTGAACAAAGTTTATCCATCACTTTATGCATCAATAAGTTGACAAAATGTTCAGTGACTTTATTTTTGAAAAGTACCAAATATTGGAATTTTATAGAAAACAGTTTATTTTGTCTGAAGCAGAAAAATATAACTTGCATTTTATATATAACATGATTTATGAATAAAAAGTTTGGTAGGGGTTAATTATTTTTATTGTATGAAATTTTCTTTAATGCATTGATATCATAAAATATACAATTGATTGACTGTATTATTGATACAGAAACTAAAAGCACATTCAAATGACTATGTACAGAATATCTTTTTTTTTTATCTCAGCTCTCAGAGATAATTATACATCCACTCATACAGAAAGAGGGATATCTTTGAATCATATAAAAATTTGGTTTATGTAATCAAACCCTTAAACATGGATAATTTTATTTACATACACACAGACACTAGTATTTCTCTCTCTCTCTATATATATATATATATAATACACACACACACACACACACACATTTCATTGAATACAACAGACAAGGTGCTTTTATTTAGTTTTTATACAATTTCTCGAGCGTTCTAATTTAAAAAAAATTTTTTTTTTAAATTTGCTACATTTTTTTTCTTTCTAGAACGCATGAGAAATTGTATAAAAAAAATAAAAAGCACCTTGTCTGTTGTATTTAATGAAATGCGTATGAAAGAAGGATTGCTGCCTAAATACACAGATATATATATATATATATAAACAAAAATATTGGTGAGAAAATGTATGGCAAAGTGTAAAAAGTTTTTTGGGGATACATTTCATCCTTTAGGACTTCATCTAAAGGATGAAACACATCACAAGAAAACTTTTTCAACTTTGTCATGCATCCCCTATATATATATATATATATATATATATATATATATATTGCATGTACAGTACTTAGTGGAAAACACTCAATATCAATGATAGAGCTAACATATTCAGTTGTATGGATATGAGTTTGTGACCCTGGGTTTCACACTTTTGCTATCATCAGATATACCCATTATCTTCCATATATATATGTATGTCCCCATTCACATATTTACAGTAGTAAATACTGTATGTTGGTTTGCAGTTGAAGATTCATTGTGGAATTCACTTGACTCACTTCTAGCAGTTGACTACTACTATGCACTGCTGGCAAATCTTATATGTGTTTTTTCTTGTTCTAAGTATTATCGTTCATTACCAACCTTTCTTTGATTATTCTGTTCAATAACCTTCCTTAGGTTACAATAATATATATATATATATATATATATATATATATATATATATATAACTGAATAGAAATTTTAGGAATTTGAATAATTTTCCATAATAATTCATCATGTCCAGACCTAGAAACCTCAACAGAATACAGAAAAGCACTGGAAAGCCATTTTGGTCTATTTTTGGGACTCATCAGCAGTGAGAATCCAGACTGTTATGATACAGTGCATGCATCATACCATTGGGCTAGCAGGCTTCAGTGATGAAGATGAAACTAAGTTACTGGACACAATAAAGTGCAGCTAATCCTGTTACCGGTGGTGATACTCATCCAAGTATACATAAGCCACAGGACAGGCGCCAAGTGCAATGACTTCCTCCACCAAGCTGCTCAATCCATAGCATTAGAAGCTGGATATGTATGTATGTATGTATCTATGTATGTATGTACTTCTTTTTAATCATTTCTCTCCAAGAAAGGTGACAAAGCCACTAAGGCAAAAGAGGTAACTGAGAGTGAAAGAAACTGAGAAAACATTGAGGAGATGGAACAATAAAAGAACTGGATTCAAGGAGAGATATGATGATGATGATTGATATTGCTTTTAACTTTTTGATGATTATAATTGTCAGGAAAGTGAGATGTACAGAAGAAGAAACAATTATCATAGAACTAACATCATGAAACTTAGCTGCTGATCTAGTACTGCACTTTAATTCATAAAGTCGAGATACCAAAGATGAAAGCTCATCAGAACAATTGCCATCAAAATAGTTATAAAAATGCACAGGGAAGCAGTGGGATAGGTGAGTGAAGCTGAGATGCCAACCCAGGACTGATAATATTGCAGATGATTGCTTAAGGCATGAAGTTGCCACTCACCAGTCAGTGTTTATTTTGGTGTTCACTGTTTATATCTACATAGATTCTATCTCCAATATTGATCCCTCTTCCCTCAGAAATGTAGGTATGTGTGTGTGTTAGATTTTAATTATATAAAAAGTTGATTTCTATAATCGATCATATTTTATTTATATGACCTATTTATTCTATTTTTTACTATTTTTGTTTTATCATAGAATCTTAAATTTTCCATTAGATTCCATTGTATTAGTTTCATATCAGTAGGACTGGCTCCACTTACTATAAGCTCCAGGATATTTTTTTTCTTCAAGTTTATCCTTTCTGAATGATGCCCTAATCATTACTGTTAGGCAATTGCAACTCCTATATTGTGCGCACACACACACACACACACACACACACATATATATATATATATATATATATATATATATATATATATAGAGAGAGAGAGAGTTTATTTAATATAACTCTTTACACACTCTTTAACTCTTTAGTAGAAAAACACAAATTTCTTTGTCTTAATGTGAAAACCGCTTTCCTTCTATCAGATAAGTTTGTGATAAAAAGCATTA